CAGTTCATCTTCCAACCACAAGCAACCGTTGTGACTTTTCAGTGCTTCTCTTCTTTTAATCATAAGCACACAGTTGCAGAGCAAATCCCACTCCCCAGATCCTTCCAGTATGCCCATGAGGGATAAGCTCCTGAGTCCCTATTTCAACTACACTCACTTGTGAGATTTCTTAGGGAATGTTCCTAACTGAAGTAGGTCTCAGTGGGTAGCACAACTTGAGTGCTGACCCACAGCTGCTGATGCCCACATCTACAGGCAGTTTTATTTCCACCCCTGCACCATTTGTTCAAGGTGGTGTCCATGCTGGGTTAGACTGGCCCTGGTAAAGGGAACGGCTTTGACACTGCAGATGTGCACCGTACCTGGGGATAGTGGTGAGGAGGACCTACTCTGCTGTCTTTTCTGGGTAGCCTCCTTTTTCTAGGCTCCCTCACCCCCACCTTCAATCCTAAAGGATTGTGGTGTGGGGAAGGATTAAGTGACAATTGATTTGACCTAATCTAGCTAATGAAGACTAAAACATCTCATCCTCTGTTTTTTACAACATCCCTAAGAGGGAATTTAGGCCAGATTGTGCTCCTGCTTGCCAGATGGGAGAGCAGGCCCAGGGAGGTTGTGTGGTGTTGGCTGCAGTTACACCACAGTGAGGACAGAGCTGCAGTCAGAACTAGATCCCTCCCACCTGAAGCCTCAGATATTCGGGTGTGGGGCACACTGCTCCAGCCTGTGGCCCCTTCAAGGATGGAACAAAGCATGCCTGATTTTAGCTTTAGTTGGTGTTGCATTTGGGGAAAATTTGATACCTTGGTTTAGCCCTTGATCAATTTTGGTGCCCAAATTAGCAGATGTTCCCCAAACCATTTGGGATGAGGTTTTTTAAATAAATGGTAGACCCCTCCCCCATCAAAATCTAATTTTTTAAGTTCTCTTCTCCCTTATTTTGGGGGCATGAAGGAAGCATGGCACTTTATGGTCTCTTTCAAGGGGCCGGGACATGCCAAGAATTTGGGGGTTTAGGAGGGGAGAGGTCCTTGCTGAGGGCTCTGAGACAGAAGGTAACTCTGTCATCTTGTGGCTGGCTAGGAGCTGTGCCAACACCCTGCACTAGGATGTGGTCACTGTAGAAATAGGGCTGAGGCCCAGCTGTCTCATTTAAGGAAAAGAAACTGAGGCAAGTCCTCTAGTTAGACTCAAGCTGTGGTGAGATCCTTATAGACCTAGCAGAGTAGAGGAGGTCCAAGGCTGCTGGGTCTGGATTAGGGTGCTTGGTTTTTCCCCATGCCCTTTCCTATCTCTTACCCCCTTCCTCCCTGCCTCCCCCCCTCCCTCATGTGTGTATGTGTATTTATGGTTTTGTTTTGTTTTTGGTATATGGAGGAGTAAGTCAGGACCCATGAAGTCCTCAGAGTCTTTGTGAATAACTTTGGTCAGAGGTGGCCAGAAAGCATGTAGATTTGACCAAAATGGGTGGTTGGAGTCTCACATCAAATTCCAGGACTCTGGGTCCTCCCTAGCCGATTGAGTACTGGGAGTAAAGTACCGCATCTGACTGCCCTTGAGATTGGAATTCTGCTATAGCTCGTGAATGGATGGGATATGAAGGGTAATGGGAACTGATATGAGTGTGGTTTAAATTGTCCCTGGGAGATAGCAGAATGCTTTACTCCAGCTTTCAAAGACTTAAAAAAGCCCAAAAAAACCAAACCCCCAAACCAAAAAAGGTCATTGCAGATCCTCAGGTCAGGCCTGTCATCTCCTTCCCTGAAAAGGAGCTAAAGAGGCAGTCCTTCCTCCAGGTGCCCAGGCAGGTGTCCCAGCAGCCTCAGAGGGTGTTCCTCATGCAAGAGGGCCCCCGGCCCCAGTGAATTGACATAGGAGGGAGGAGGCTTAGATTTAGATCTAAAACTGCCTCTGACTTGCTGGGTGACTGAGTCCAATCTGAGACTGGGCTTCTCTGTGCCTTGATTTCTTGACCAGTCTTTCCCTAGCACCTTTGAGAGCTGGTAGAAGAATAGGAGATTACACACAGAGCGAACTTTGTGGATGGGGCAAATCTTGAGTACTATATAAATACAGAGGAGCACAGATAACAACTTCTGCTGGGAGACTGGGGAAGTGTCTCCAAGAAATCTTTTCTTCCCATTGCTTCTTTCTCAGCCCTGGAGTCACAGCCCTTTCCCTTCACACAGGGATGACACAGCCATTAGGATTGTGGCTTTCTGACCTTTATGCCAGTCTCTTGCTCATCTGTTTCCCACCTGTTTCTTTGCTTCTATGTCATGTAATCTTGCAAACTTGCTTTTCCAGAGCCCCCACCTCAGCATTGGGCTTTTAAAGACAGTGTAGGAGGGCAACAGCATTTTGGTGTCTGACTTGGCTGCTGACGTAGGTCAGAAGCTCCCAGAAATATCTGATTGCTGCTTTTTGATCTTAAGTGCAGAATAGGAAAATGAGTGATAGGAAGTTGAATGATTGAAAACCTAGTGTAGGAGGTGAAGTTGGGACTGAATCCAGTCTGTCATTTATTTACTACTGGGCAACAAGGTGCAGGATGGGGAAGAAAGAGGTTGGGCCTTTCTGAGCTTCGGGGGGAAAGAGACAAGCAGCTCTGGGGGCTTTACTCCTGGGGAGTGGGTTGTGCATGGATGTGCAGACAAACTTAGAATCCATGGTATAATTAGAGCAAGTTTACCCTTACAGTAAGAGTTTTTTTATTTTAGGCAATTACTTAGGCACCTTCCAATCACCAGCCCTGTGCTCTAGGCACTGGGAGGGGTACAAAGATAAATTAGAGACAGTTCTTGGCCACAGGTTGTTTACTCTCTAGGAGTTACAAATACCATGGTCCAAGAGAGAGGTTGGTAAGTACTAGAAGGGTACAAAGTGCTGGAGGAAATCAGAAAATCCTGAGACATTCCTTCCTGGGGGCAGATGGAGACAAAAGGGGAGGCTGGCCTTGGTGGGCTGATGAGATTTCAACCCTGGGCACATGTGCAAAACCTCAGAGAAGAGAAGGACCCGGACATGGGTGGGAAACAGTATGTGGTGTAGTTTGTGCAGGACATAGAGACTTTGAAGAGGAATGAAGTATAAGGACAGGTAGGTGGGACCAGAACATGTGGCCTTTGATTACCATCTTTGAAAGAGGGTCTTTGAAGAGTTTCAATAGTAATGTTAAGATTATTTAAAGGAATGTTTTATAGGTCAGTATACATTGATTTGGAAAGGTGTTTATGATATAAGGCCAAAAAAATTGCAAAATGATATATACAGTATGATATCATCTTTTATTTTAAAGCATAAACAGACATGCAGAAGGCAAAGCCTACAAGTATACTATCTCATAGTATTATCAGTGGTTGTCTCTGGGCATTTGGAGTTGTGGATTTTTTTCTTTTGTTTATATTTTTGTTAATCTTGACTTTAATACAATTCATACTTACTACTTTTTAAATTAACAAATCATTTTTAATTTTTTAAAAATTAGCACATATTTCATGATTGCAAAGGGAGATGACTTAAACTATGCCAAGAATTAGATAAAAACTGAGACTAAAAGTTGTCCATGCTGTATTATTTATGATATCTGAAGAGTCCAATAATATGGGAATGGCTAAGCAAACTACTTTATATCTACCTGCTGGAATATTGTGTAGTCATTAAAAATGACAAATAAGAAAGAAAAAAAAAGACAAATACGTGAATTTTGATGCTCAGAAATGGGCATATGAAATGGATAGAACAAACTAGAACACAATGTAGTACATTTCATATTGCATACAACTATGTCAAAATATGTAAACACTTAAATGGATCTGGAGAACATAGGTAGATAGTATTGTTAAATTTACCACTTAACCATTTTTTATCTTTACAATTCAGTGGTATTCAACACATTCACAGTGTTGTGTAACCATCATTACAGTCCATTTCCAGAACATATTTATTATCTCAAGCGGAAATTCGGTGCCCATTAAACAATAACGCCCTAATCCTTTCTCCCCCTAAGTCCTTGGTGACCTCTATTCTATTCTCTCTCCCTATGAATTTGCCTATTCTAGGCACCTCATGTAAGTGGAATCATACAATATTTGCCCTTTTGTGTCTTTTATTTCACTTAACATAGTGTTGGGAGTTTCATCCATATTGTAGCATATGACAGAATTCCATTTCTTTTTGAAACTAATATTTCATTGCATGTATATACCACATTTTGTTTATCCACTCATCTATCGATGAACACTTGGGTTGTTTCCACCTTCTGTTTATTGTGAGTAATGCTGCTATGGACATGAGTGTACAAATATCTCTTTGAGACCCCACTTTCAATTCTTTGTAAATATACCTAGAAGCGGAATTGCTGGATCACATGATAATTCTGTGTTTTAACTTTTTGAGGAACTGTCAACCTGTTAGTGTCTTTTTTAATGTAAAGCTCTTCAAGTTTATTTATACCTACAATCCTCAGTTCCTTTTACTGTGCTTAATGCACACACGAATTATCAAGGGATTAGTACAGATGCAAAAGCATTTTGCTCTGTTTAAAGGAAAGAGCCTTATAGATCTTAATTCAGTAGAGTGTTCTGAATGTGGCCATGGAAAACACGGTCCACTCAGATTGAAACTTACAGATGATTCCAGAACCTTACTTGCTATCAACAGTCTCAACTTTTACCTTCTCCCAAAAAGCTTTAGCCCAGGTAAAAATAAAGTGAATTCATTTATGATTGCTATATTTTTGTCCCATTTAGCCAGAAGTCTGAGATAGAGGAGAGAACCAAAAGACTTGGGTATTTCCCTAAGCTGACTCTTCAGCCTGGATAGTTGAAAGTTGTTATTATATCATTCTTGTTGTCCCAGGCACCTAGGTTCCCTGGGGCTAACCAACTCTGAGGGAAGTATAAAGAGTCCTTCAGTTAGTTGGTTGAATTTGTGCAGTGCTTAGGAGCCCTGCAATAAGTGCTGGAGGGAGGGAGAAGGGCAAGAGATAAAAGATGGAAGAAAATTTGGTTTTTGTCCACTTAGAGTTCCTTCTCTAACGATGAGAAACAGTCCTGCTCTCAGAAAACTCAGTATGGAGGCCTCAGAGTTCACAGTTCATAGTCTATTAGGAACAGGAAAAAGATGGAGGACATGTATATAAAGTCACCCCAGTCCAAAGTAAAATAGTGTCAATTGTTTCCAATGATAACAGCCAGCTGGTTAAGTCAGGCGAGCTCTCCGCAGACTATATGTGCTTTTATGGGCAGCTTCAAATTCCTTTAGGAGGGGGTGGATGCAGGTGAAGAGGTGGTAGTTAGGTAAGGCTTCCGAGAAGAGAGAAGGTTGATTTACATGCCTCTTTCCACCATGCTGATGTCAAGGGGTGTGCTGTGCTCTCTTGCAGCCAGCGTCCCGTGTTCGGTGGCCCCAGAAAAGCCAGTGTGTAGACCTCAGCCACCCCAGGTCCGACGTACATTCTCCCTGGACACCATCCTCAGCTCGTACCTTCTGGGCCAGTGGCCACGAGATGCTGATGGGGCCTTCACCTGCTGTACCAATGACAAGGCCACTCAGGTAATGCTCTCTCCTAACTAGATAAGGGATATGAGGATGGGGGAAGGGGGAAGGGGGCTTTGGTCTACGTACCAACTCTTAGTCCTTGAAATTATCCTGGGTTTTGGCCGTACATTTTCACCATGTGGCTTTTTATCATCTAATGTTTACCAGCTCAGTTTTCTTTGTAAACTTACACAAAAATGAGTTTGTATTCCTCCTGACTGGTGGGAGAGAAGTCAATCTGGTTTTTTCAGTTTGACTTGAGTATCCATATGTGGGTAAGCAAGAGTTGATTTTGGAATTTATTCTAGGTTTTAAAAAATGAGATTTACCTTGCTAAAATTAAACTGGGGCTGACGTTCAGTTGTGTTCACGTTCCCCAGACAGCTGGAGGAGGTGGCCAAAAAGTGTGCTGAGCCAGGATAGACCCCACTGGAGCGATAGGAGGGGAGGGCTCTCAGGGAATGGAGAATTCATCCCTAGCCAGCAGCCCAGTCTGGGACCTCAGTGGACCCACTAGAGCCCTATGGAGCCCAGGTCCCCTCATCTTCTCCACCACAGTCTTTTTGGTAAGAATCGTAAGCTTGGAAGGAATGGCCATGGATCAGCGAGTCCATTTGTTAGTGTTTGAATAAGGTGGTGTTAGCCTGAGCAAGAAATCATCTGTGAAACTACACGAAGGTCCTTCTTCATCTGAGTCAGGACTTCAACAGTCTTAGCAGTTGCGTTGTTAAGAGTCAAATCTTCTCCCTTTTTGATGCAGTTTAAACCCACTTCTGTTCAACTTCAGAACAAATGAGTTGTCCTCGGGAAGAAAGATATGGGCTCAGAGGCAAAGCAACGTCCTGGGGGACACTGGGCAAGTCGGCTCTTCCTTTGCCCACTCTGCCTGCCTGTAGGTGGGGTGATGGCCAAATGTGAGAGTGTTTTGTGCGCTCACTTCACCCTACCTCCTCATCTGAGCACATCACATCAGTCCCTTCCTTTTATTTATTTTAACGAGATCCATTTTCCAATGTTTTTAGTGAAAGTCTGAGTGCCCAGTGCCGTTCTTGGCATGTTGCAGTGAATAAGGAAATGAGAAGGTTTGGCCTCTGCGAGCCTGGATGCCAGTTCCATGAAGGCCAGTGAACAGCCAGCCAAGGGATGAGTGGGGCCAAATGCCTGGCACACTTTAGAGGAGGGGAATTCTCATGGGAATACCCTACCTTGACCCTACAGGAATTTACCGCAGTTGAAACCAATGGCCCTCTTTAGATCTATGAACAGAATGTGAAGGGAAAACACACTCCAGGTAGCAGACAGAGCAGGTCTACTTCCTGGGAGCCCTGGGCACTGTTGTTCCCCGTACCCTTGGAAAAGGGCAAGTATGATATTCTTCCCCTTCATAGGCCTGGAGCACTCCCCCCGCCCCTTCTCTTTTGAGAGGAGTGTTTGGCCCAAATAATGTATGTAGTCAAGGAGGGCTTCCTGGAGGAGGAGACTTGAGATTGTTTCACATGTGTAAGCTCATGATTACATCCCTCTTTGTCGGGCAGCAGGCTGCCAGGTAGCCTGTCGCTGTCATTTCCGGCTGTCAGCCTTCTAGGAAGCCTCCATCCCACTCCTCACATAGCATTCTCTTTGTCAACTCAGGGCAGGGTTGGCCTCAGATGTTCCCTGGCCAGATTTAGAGGCATGGGCTCTAGGCTGTGTGTTGCTGCTCAGGCTCCAGCTGCAGGCCAGATCTTTTATATAACAAGTCTGGGCTTCTTGCCACGGCAAGACAGAGGTCAGCGATGCGCCTCCATGGGTCTGGCAAGGCCGAGCTGTGCAGCTTTCCTCTTTCCCCGGGATGGGCTCCAGCCCTCGAGGAACTCTTAGCAACCTGTCAATATTGTGGCTGCAGTCAGGAGGTGGGAGAATTCTGATCAATGTAGAGGTCCAAACCAAAGTATGTACTCTGCCCATCTTTCATTCCTGGCCTTCTGGGAATTTTCTGCTTCTAGGTTTTGGGCACCATTCAAATTCCTGCTTGAGTCCCCTGGCCTGGCACAAGCTACCTTCTTCCACACTGATATTACACCATGACGACCTGAGGCTCTCCTGGCATCTCCCTTACTGGATATCCCCCAGAACAGACTGAAGATGAGGGAGAGTTTTTATTGGGGAGATACTAGGGAGTGTGGGGAAGGGTAGGGAGGTGTGATCTACCAAAGTCCTTGAGAGCTTTTAAATTGTTAAAAATAAATAGATTGATGCCCTATCTTAGCCTAATTCTTCTGAGCGCAGTGGGGCCTCTTCCCACCCCTACCTCACCTTCTGCCCTTTCTCTTCCAGCCACACCAGTATAGTACATCCACTGTTCTGGCTGGCCTTCTCTTTTATGCTCTTTGTTTCCCCCCTGCACCTCTCACTGTCCCCCACTCCAGAGCCTGCAGCCAGAGTATTTGTTTGGAGCCCTGGCATTCCTGGGGCCTGCCTTGTAGTGAAGGCAGGGAGCCATTGTACAACTCCCCTCTCTGAACCCCTAGAGCAAGCAAGCAAGGGCCCTACCCATTCCAGGCAAATTTCAGACCTGGGCAGCAAGCACAAAACACCTGCCATTTAGATAGTCAGGCATGCTGCATCCTCAGGCAAAAGATGGAGTGAAAAGCTCTCCGTCCTCAAATATAGCAGGTTGCCAACAGCCCCAGGATTCCCTCCCTGGGCTTAGCTGTGTTTTAAGCTCTTAGGCAGGCAATTTACAGTCTGATGTGGAGAGCTGAGTTACCCAAATATTTGGGGCAGGGGAAGAAGAGAGGTGGATGGATCTCATTTGGGAAGTTGGTTGTTCTAGGAAGGAGAGGAGGTCTGAATGTGGTAATTGGGGAAGGAGTGCTTTGGAGCTGCTGCATGTTCTGAGGCAGGACGAGCAATGGGAGAGGGATGACCAGGTGTCCCAGAGACCAGCCTGGTTAGTACAAGGAAGAGCTCAGATGCAGCAGGAGCTGGACACAGAGTGGCCAGCCAGGGAAGATGAGGAGGGCCTCTGTGTAGAGTCACCATCACCTGGAGGACTTTGTCAGGATTCTCCAGATCAATCTGAATATGTTTTCCCCTGTGTGGACTACTCTTCCGGTCAGCTGGTAAACCAGAACTGGACGCCAAGTGCTTTGGGTTAGCCTGTCCTAGCGACTGGGCTGGTGCCAGGGCGGTGATGGCACCACATGCCGGTTGCGGTCACCCCTCTCTCCTCTTGCTGTGCAAAGCATTTGTCTTCTTGCACCCTTCTGGAGGGAGGAAGTGGTCTCACCACAGCTGGCACAACTGTTTGAGCAAAGTTCCCCTACTGGTGTTCTCATCCTGCAGACAGATGGGACCCTGGGTACCTGCTGTGCCTCTGCCCCGCCCTCTGCCCCTCTTCTATTCATCCCCAGCCCCACATCCTCTGCCTGCTCCAGGTGGGGTGGGGAAGCCTCTGTGACAGACTTTTTTCTTTAGGCCTGACTTACCCTTTGGGAAAAAAAATAGCTTAAGTCCTTGACAAACCTCATGGAGTGGCTTGCAGGCTGGAGGCAGGAGTGACGTGCTTTTTTGGGGAAGACTTCCCTTTCTGTGACTTGTCCTACGTGTGTAGCGTCTTCCTCCTTTTCCCAAGCCAGTGCCTCTGCATTTAGTGATGACAAACAATTCAGTTTGCCCATCATGGGTCTTCCTTTGTGGGTGTGGGGGCCTGGGCACAGCGCCTATTTTCCAAACTGCTGAGCAGGACCAGTTGTTCAGCATATGGTGTGACAACAGCACAGAGTGTTTGAAAATCGTTCACGATGGAAAATGTGAGGGTTGCCTAGTCACTGTAGGGCCAGAGATGGTGGCCTTGGCCACCTGCAGCCAGAGTTCTCAGAGTTGGCCGGCAGACCTCCCTCAGAGTCTTTCCTGTCCTTTTCTGGCCAGAGTCCCGGGGAGCTGATTCCCTGCTGGGTTTCATTTCACCACATAGTTACTGACCATCTGTACCATGCCAGGCACCATGCTGCCCTGTGCCTTTGCACAGGCATGCTGGGTTATGTTCCCAGGGCCCAGCTGGGCTCTGCCAACATCACAGGAGACAACACGACTAGACTTTTCCTGTCTCAGAATCCAGGTAGAAACTTAGTTGGGTTGGGGGCAGAGAAACAGGCTGTAGTTGGGAGATTTTCAGTTCCATCTGGCCCCTGCCTTGTCCTATCAGGCTGCTCTTTGGAAGTCTCTCCCCCGTCCCCATGCCCAGTTATCCTTCCACATGTTGCTCTGGGATCCCAGAACCCCAGGCAAGGCTTCCTTGGTCCAACCCACATTCAGTTTTGCATAATCCGAGCATCATCTGCACAGTTGGCTGATGCCGCTCATGGCTAGTAAATAGCCCTGCTTTTCCTTCAGCTGTTCCCCACTGGCCAGGGCCTTCAAACAGATCTGTTCCATTGCATGAGTCCCTTTGACAAACATGACTTTGGCCTGCTGAGCTCAAGCTCTACTCTGCTTCTAAAGGATCATCTGGAATGACTACTTACAGTGCTGTCATGCAGCATGGCTTGGCCCCTGTTGTGCCATAAAGGGTGACTCTTTGAAGGCACAACAGGGGCGAAGCCTTCAATAGCTGTGACTCCTCTGTGCTCCAAGGAGACATTGGCCCAGACCTCTGTGGTGAGACCTAGAGGAAGAAGGGCCTGTCTACCCAGGGGCACTGAAAATAAGGGGCAGGGCATTGTCCCCACTCTTGGTGCTCCCAGTTCAGTTGGAGGCACTGAAGACCACACTTATGCCCATGCCTGCCTTAAGAACACTGAAGGTCAGCATGTAAACAGCTTCAAACATAGCATAACTTAGTGTATTAGGTACCCAAAGCTGCTGTAACAAATTACCTCAAACTTAGTGATTTAAAACAACAAAAATTTATTCTCTCACAGTTCCGGATGCCAGAAGTCCAAATTCCATTTCACTGGGCCAAGATCAAGGTGTTGGCAGAGCTACACTTTCTCCAGAGCCTCTTTGGGAGATCCGTTCTTTGCATCTTCCAGCTTCTGGTGGCTGCCAGCATTCTTTGGCTTGTGGCCACATCACTCTAATTTCTGCCTCCATGGGCACATCGCCTTTTCTTCTCTGTGTGTCTAACCTCCTGCTGTCTCTCTCTTTTTCTCTCTCATATGAACATTTGTAATGGTATTTAAGGCCCACCCAGATAACCCAAAATAATCTTACCACCTAAGGTAATGTTTACGGGTTCCAGTGATACTTTGGGAGACCATTTTTCAATCTGACACACCTGCTGACCTCATTTCTACTGCCATGCCCCTGACCTCCTCTGCTCTAGCCACACTGACCTCCTCCTCATTCTTAAACACACTGGGCTCGCTCCTGCCTCAGGGCCTTTGCACTTGCTGTTCCCTCTGTCTGGATCATTCTTACGTGGCTTGCTCCCTCATCTCCTTCATATTTTTCTTCAGACATTACCTTCTCATTGAAGACCTCTGGACATTTAGAATCATGTCTGTCCCCCCAACACACCCCC